ATTATGCTGCAGCTGTCGGCAGGCTTGTTTGCTCTGATAAATAACTAAAGATCACAGCGCTCTCAGATCACTGATATATTGAGTGAAGTGAATGACAATTAATCTAATATCTGCTCAATAAAAACTTACAGACTAATTGACTAATCTGTGCTTTTCTCTTAAAAGCTAAATGAGATACACTTTATCTACATGAGTGTCCTAAAGGCGTGCTACAGCTAACCAGTACTGTCAGGATCAGAGCCATTCACACTGCGCTAAGCCTATGAAAAATGTTTTAACTATAATAAATGGTTACTATTTGAATGGTAAAAATACTTACTAGGCATACACTGGCAAACTATTTTTAATATTACACAAAGATAATCAGAGTAAATACAAAACACCTTTTTTTAAATGCTGATTTCACTTCTTAAGGGAATAAAGTTATCCAAACCTCCCTGCCCAGTGCAGGAAATAATTTCTCCCAAATTAACTGTGATTAACCACACTTCAATTTCAGCAGCCGTGCCCGATTACTGCCACAAATGACTTAAATAGATCTCAAAAATCAACACATCGTGACACAATCTAAAGAAACGCCTGATAAACTAAGTCAGCGTCATCGCTGTGATCGGTCCGAGGCTTCACAGGAGTGGCTGGCCTGCCAACATTATTCAAAGAGCGCATCAACGACTCACCCAGTAGGTCACAGAAGAACCAGAACAACATGTAAAGAACTGTAGGCCTCGCTTGCCTTAGTCAAGGTCAGAGTTCATGACTCAACAATAAGTAAGAAAGAGACTGGGCGAAACTGGAGAGTTCAAAGAGAAAACCAATGCTGACCAAAAAGAGCACCAAGGCTCGTCTCACATCTGCCAAAAAAAACATCTGGATGATCCACAAGACTTCTGGGAAAATATTCTGCGGACTTACGGGAACAAAAGATGAACTTTCTGGAAGGTTTGAGTCCCATTATGCATTTCATAAAAAGAACATCAGAGCAACAGTCAAACATGGTGGTGGTGGTGGTGGTGTGATGGTCAGGGGCTGTTCTGTAGTGGTTTCAATCAGACTCAGATATTTTGGCGTGACCTCAAACTGGTCATTCATGCTGGAAAACCCTCCAATGTAGCAGAATTACAACAATTCTGTAAAGAACAGTTGACCAGAACTCCTCCAAAACAACGTGAAAGACTCATAAACACATAACTGTGTGTCCTCCTGCCAAGAGAGACACAACCAATTATTAGGTTTAGGGGGAAATTAGTTTTTCACATGGGGCAGGTGTGTTATTGTTTAAATACTGCATTTTGTATTTACTCAGATTGTTGTTGTCTATTATTACAATTTATTTGAAGCTCAGAAACATTAAGGTGCAAAAAACTCATAAATCAGGAAGTGGGCAACAAACAGCAAACAGATCAGGCCAGAAAGAAAGGGGGGAAACTATTCACTAAACATGATAAACAATGTATCTACACTATAGGGATAAAAGAACCAGTTCGCACTTCTTAATATAAGATGTCTGTTGTTTTCAGTCCCGTTGCCACAGGTGTGTAATATCAGTCAAAAGCAGGCTGATTCTAAAGAGCTCAGCAGTTCCAAGTCTGTTACTGTAACAAGTCAGTCTGTGAGTTTTCACCCCTTCCAAATATTCAACGATCAGCTGTGTTCAAACGTCATCTGGTATTATCATCAGCACCAAGTCTGTGCACCAGGAGCTTCATGAGATGGTTCACGATGACCGAGCAGCTCCTGTAATTATAACGTACGGGTTCCACACAGCGTTTTTTATCTAATGCCCTTCATTCTGTGCTTTTCTTTACTCATTTCGTGAAACTATGCATTCACAGGGTGGGTGAGAAGTGAGTCTACAATCTTAGTTTCACTGGAGACAAAAGGGGAGGGATGTCCCTCCTACACTTATCTGTGTACAAGCGCCTATATTGTTTTTTCACGTATAACTCCAAAATGAGTGATATTACACACTCTCTACTGAATATACAATTTGTAAAATGGTTATGTTTTTGAAGAGCCGACCACAAGACCAATCGCAGCAACCCAGACTTGATTCTGACCCAATGCCGTTTGCAGCGTGTCTTCCCCACTCTCCTTCTCTTCACTAAAAAAAAAAAAAACTAATAAAAGCCCCCAAAATAATAATAAAAACAGAATTTATGGCTTAGCATCAGTGTGGTGAACGAGTTCTAAATCCACATCCTAAAACGTGTTAACCAAGCTAAATTAGGTACTTAGTGATGCGAGACCTGCCTTATCTCTAAAAAGAGCTTTAAAGGAATTAGAAAAAGTTAGAAAAAGACCTTTAATGTGTAAATAACAGCAGTTTCAAATAAAAAGCAGCCATATCGAAGCCTTTTGTTTCTTCCATCCTCTCTGTGGGAGTTTTAATTCAGAGATAAATGTGAAACTAAAATGATCACAAACAGGAATTAAATCCTCTCAGAAGCTCACCTTAAAACTACATTTCATGAAGCACAACTCTTTTTGAGATCGCTCAAATGCAGCGCTAATGTCTGTGCTGTGCATTAGCTCCTCTTAAGCACCACTGTGGGAACACCTAACAAAGCAGCTGATAAATAGTACTGCCAGTATCAGTTAGCTACAGTGCATGCAGGAACACAAGATAATAAAACGCTTTTAATCCAAGCAGCATACTCTCTAAGTAGAGTGAAGCAGATAGGGGGGAAGGGGAAAGAGACAGACAGAAAGCTAGCAGTCTCTGTGACATAAAAATATGATTTGCCTGGCACTGGGAGGGAGAATTAGGGACTGGACCACTGTACAACACACACATATATCCTAGATTTTTAATCCCGAAACACGCTAACAGCCATAATTATACGGCTACAAGAGATTAGTGTTGCAGAAAAATGACTGAGTGACGACAAGAAAGTCAGAAAAACACACACACAGAGAAAATACTTAGGAAGAAGAAAAGGAGACTACAAATTCACCATCCCCCAAGAAGCAGAACTGGAGTCTGATGTCAAAAGTTCTGAAAGGGAGGGTTGAAAAAATGAAGACAAGCAACAGGACAATTACTGTAAAAATGATTAAGAGGAAAAAGGGCTAAAACCATTTGAGAGTACAAAGTGCAGAGCGAAGGTGGAAAGAGGAGGAGAGACTGAGACTTGCTGACAAAGGTGTGGGAGACAGCGGGAAAAGGGAAAGAAAACAGAGGAAGAAGAGACGAGCAGGCCAAAACACACAGAGCGAGCATGTTCTTAGCAAAGAATTTAATTGACACCAAACAAAGACTTTAAACACTAACAGACCAAAGCAACAGAGCAGGACACCTCAGATGTTCCTGCTCTAGCTTCATAGCACCGCGTTAGATCTATGCTGCAGCCTGCAGTCCACCTTCCCTGATATGTAACTACAGCAAAGCAGACCTCAACTGCTGTGACAGGTCTGAGAAACACAGCATCCATCCACAAGGATGATGCCTTTATAAAGCAAATAGCAAATAACAGTTTTATTATTAAAACAAAGCTGCCTTTTAATAAGTCAGAGCTACTAAAAGGAGACTTGAGAGTCAGTTCTTCAGTGAACTGTTGTCTAAGATTTATTGACTCTAATGCCAGCATGATCGGCTCAATCAGACTCATGATAGCAGAGCTAATGGAGACACAACATCACTCGCTGCAGCGGGGATTCGAGACAGTACCACACCTCACGCTTAAGAGCAAACAAACTACAGTCAAAACAGTGTAAACTGATCTTTACTGTGAAAATGAAAATAGGCCCTTTCTTTGATTTATTCAAGGCATGTAGCCGCACGAATCTTTTCTTCAGACTCATTTAGTTCTAGAGGTAGTCATCATCATAGCTTCCATTTTCTGAGCTGAAGATGGTGACAGTTTCTCTATCCATACCCTTCTAGTTCTAGCTGGAATGGGGGTATCTTATGAAGAAGAGCTGCATGTGAGGGAGGAAGTGTTCAATGAGGAAGAACAGTTTAAACAAAAGGGACACGACGGCTTGAGCCAGGTGCACAGCAATATACAAGGTGAACAGGAGATTTATTTGTGTAAAGGATAAGAATGATAAATATGATGAAGGGGGCAAAACACACAGGAGGGTTGTGTGGTGAGGGGTAATATACGGACAGGTGGAAGCGGATTAAAAAGGAAAAAAAGGGAGCAAGAAAAACAGGACGGCATCTCTAGCACTCTCTCATATAAACCCACACACACACACACCTTCGACATCTCTCCCTCAGTCGCAGCTGAGACGATCCATCCATATGACTGCTGTGCCTTTTGAATAATAGACCCAATATGAAGCAAGTCACTGAGAAGATTTGGTTGTGTGATGGGGGTCATGGGGTTCCTGCCCTGAGAGCAGCGCCGGGAATCAACAGCAGTCATAAAGGAATCACAAGACGGAGTCATTTGCATTTTACACTCACAACTAAATTGGAAATGAGTCGCTCCTGCTCCTGTCTGGACCATCACAATTCATATCAGATATGCTTTTAATTTTTTATACAGCAATTATGGAAAACCGGACCTCCATGGCTTTGTCTAATTTCCCAAGACTTTTAGATGTGAAAATCATATGGTCCTTTCATGATATAAAAATGACTGAGCTCTCGATTATTCTTTCATGACTTCAGGGGGAAAACCTCAAATGTTATGAAAGTGCTGTTTCATAAAAACTTATCTGTCTCGGAGTTCATGAAAATCTTAACACATTATTACAGAACTATTTCTTACAATAAATAATGGAGCTAACTGACAGCTCAAGGGTGAGATGGACTCGGAGAGAGATAAGGCTGCATTTGTTCATGCTTTTTGTTCATTTTTCCCAAGCAGAGCGCTCGCTCTATGGGGTATCACTGACAAAAACATATTTTTCTGCAGCTGCGATTTTTGCCACAGTCACAGTGTAAAGATGTGCTGCGTTTAATGTGTTGAATAAAAGAGTCACTTCTCGTGCTAAGACTGCTATCAGGCGTAATTGTAAAGACAGGTGCTTTGCAAACTTCTCTGCAGTACCTGCTCCAGGAGTTTTCTGTATCTCTGCGTGGCTTGCTGGATGAGGTCCCTCACGGTCCATCCCTCCTTGCATGGCACCACCACACCTGTCTGCCCAAATGTCACTGTCACCTTCATGATGGCTGCTCTCCACTTTATCCCAGATCCGAGCCCTCTGGATGCAGATGATGAGCAATGTTCATAACAATGCAGGAAGGCCTCCCGGGAAGACTTGACAAGAAGGCGAGGATGTCATCAAATACCAAAAATGTAAAAATACAGTACTGGCTGTAGGTGGCTTGAACACAGCTGCATCCAAATAAAAGTTAGCTTTCTAAAACCCAAACTGCTTTCCAGAACTCTCCACAGGCATTAGAGTCATTTTGTGATCTTACATCCAGCCGCCTTCACATGCAAAGGTAACCATGGCTGTCGCTCCTCTTCTCGTCTCCTCAAGCATAGCTAAGGATACCACTCAGCAGGTCTGAACACAGCTTCCTGAAGCGTTAAACTACTGCACTGTTTGCGCGATGGAGCTGAGCGGTGTGTCCTGTCATGCCTCACGGCGGCTTAACTGTAGTTAACTTGTAATAAAGTTAGCCGTGTATCAGCTAGCTGCACTAGCCCCGGCTATGATAACAAACCCGGGGTGGACGCTTTCAGTCTGCCACAGCTCTCCGATCTCCAAACGCTTCCTCCACTATCACAGATGCCGTGTTTCTACGTGTTTTACCACTAAGACAAAAGTTTATCCAAACTTTCACATAACAGCTAGCCGAAGCTGGTTCCTTCGCTAGCTAACGTTAGCAACCTTAGCTGAACTTTGGAGGGAGGGATGCAGTCGGTCGGGCATCATTCCACAAGTTTTCCCTCTCCCAACTTTCCTTTTTTCCAAGCCGTCACTTGCATCCACTACATCCCGGACAGGCACGATAATAAGACGGGGACGCAGTTTTCATATTCGGCGGTAAACTGGGATTGTACTGGAGCAGGTAACGGAGCAGTAAAACAGTAAAAAAATGTTTTGGAAAAGTTTTGAGATTCCTTCACTGCCGACCGCTCCTGACCAGTTCCTGACCAGCTCCTCCACCGCTTCACGCTGTTCACTTTCTTAAAGGGGAAGTGCTCCAATTAATGCTGCAGCTGGGAGTAATGCACATGGATCCAGATTCTCGGTTCTAGCCTGTAGTGTTAGGATGGTCAACTTATATTAACGAGTTAACCAGACCAGATGTTAGAGCAGCAGACTGCTAACCTGCAGGTTTCTGCTTTCTCTGATGCTGGCGTCACTCACATTACTGCTTTTTTTATGAACCCAATAATGATAACAACAAGAGCACAAGCCTACTGGCAGCTCGCTCTCTGCAGTATTTACTTTTACAGGACAGATCTTTACTTTGATTACTCAAACATTATGTAGGAGCAGGTAATCGATAATAGGTATTGATTTGTAGTAACTGGACATGAAAAACTTGAGCTTATTATATGGTGTTATCGTACAGTTTATTTTTAACTAACTCGGCTTCTCTTTCTCTTAACAATACTTTCTTTAAAGGTATAACACACCGTTGGAGTCAGCTGTGAAATGTAAAGGAAAGGTCAAATGTGACATGATATCTGGATGCACTACAATGTGATATTGAGAATCCTCATATACCACTATCATTTCCTGAATGTTGGCAGTATAAACAAACACATTAGACTTTTAGCATCGCTTTAAAGATAAAACAAAATTTATGAAAGTTTGACTTTATTTGACCTTAAAGGAGAGGTCAGAGGTTCAAGGTAACGTGATACTTAGAATCCACATATATACTGTATTATTCCCTATATGCCTATATGTTGTCAATACAAACAATAGCAGTAAGAAGTAAGTAAGTAAAATTCATTTATACAGCACTTTTTTAAGACAAAGTGCTTTACAGGTAATATAAAAACATATCAGACAAAACAACATATTACACAAGAACTTTACCCAAATGCCCATCTAAATATTTGAGTTTTCAACTGTTTTTTAAAAGAAGCCACAGAGTCCACGGTGCGTAGAGTGGGAGGTAAACTGTTTCACAGTTTCGCTGCTAGGGT